GGTTTCAAAAAATGGAAAGAATTCATTATGAGAAATATCAAATAATACAGTAATATGGTTTTCTTTTAATGAATTTAAAAATATACCAAGAAATAGGACAGGTTATTTGGCGATTGTACAGTATATAACTATAGTACGCAATGGATAGAGAAAACTAAAAGTATAATACAGTAGCACTGCTACATTTGCACTTAGAATTCATGAAAAATACAGCGTGTAGCTCAACTATAGGACCCTATAGGATCCTAGCGTCACCACTCTAAAAAACTTTTGCTGTCCTTCTCACGCTGCGCAATTATTGCCGCGGCTGAAGCTGGAAATTTTAAATACTTTAATATGAAAATTTCAAAATTTTTTGGGTTGCATTTTTTTTAAAGTTAGCTTAGAATTTAGGGTTAGTTTTGATAATAAAAATGTATAAATGGACTTTGGTAGGGCGTAAATCGAGGTCCTTAATTTCCAGCTTCAGCTGCGACAATAATTATCTTTTATTTCAGTTAATTATAAATCAAATACTGAACTAAATATACAAAAAACTTCCTATTGATAGGTCGGGTGGTTTATCGACAAAAGCGTGTTAGATTAGTAGATGAGCCATGTCGAGTGTGAAAATCACCCTTTTTTCGAAAATCGAAACTTGCATGAAACTACGTCTGGTGTTCCAACAAAAAAAACTCCTTTCGAAATTTTAGCCTACTTAGTAATACATTTTGTTGCAAATCTTAACACTAACCTTGAAGATTATTTTGCTTTATTTGATTTGTTTTGGTTTTTGATTTTTACGCTACACTTCACGATTGCCTTCTTCATATGCTATGAACAAGGTCATGATTATTGAATGCGGCAAATGAAATACATACCCGGGTTATATCACCCCTTTTATCTCTATACGTTGAATTTTTTTGGGAGATATAACTAAGGTTGAGTTATAACTAAAATATAAAACAGATTAAACGGTAAATTAGAATTTATGTAATCGAAACTTTGAACACACAATACTTTTACGTGAATTAATTTTTCGTCATAATGGTGCTACAATGCGAATCATCAGCGACGAAGTTAATACAGTACTGGCCAAACTTTTGTAATGCCGGTACACATGAAATCTGATTTATTTAAATTTAAGTAAAATTTCACGAAACAATTTCGTAACACAACCCTGCCTTGAGGCATATTTATCCGGCTGGTACTACAGTACTATGTAAACATTATTACCGCAGTTTTTATTAAAATCATGCGACAAATTCGGACTTAGGTAATAAAACCTCCGACATAATATGAAATTTTTTCCGTCAGTGGTATACGTCATACCTGCCAAATAACAAAAAATATTTACTCCCCAAGAAGATTTAAAATTTTATTGCGGTATTGAGAGGTCATAGGATTAATTTATTTATCTTTTTAAATATCATCAATTAATCAAATTTTTGTTTCACCTTCAAAGTTTGTTAAATGCATTAACAAATCTATCATCTAATTTAATGAAACATTATTAGCCTCGTTTCCTTAGTATAGGCAAGTGAACACCATTTAAGGATTTAATGAGTTTAATTAAATGAAAAAACTTTCTTAAATAGCGGTCAAGTGATATATAAAACAGCATTCATTACCTTTCGAGTCACGTATGACAAAAAGGAGTTTGGAAATAATGTTCGGATGTATGTATTCCGTTTATTTACCTAAATGGCAATTAATTATGCTTATATATAGCATATACGCCAGCCGAAGCCTAAAATTGAACATTTAATTTCTTATTCATTTTCTCGAGATTCATTCCTTCAAGATTCATTTTTTCGAGATGTCAGTAGCAACATTGACTAAAGGTAAGACATCACAAGTCCAAGTTCATTTTATTTCGCACATCTTTTAAACATCTTTTACAAGGTATGATCTTATTTATTACACAGCTTCCAATGAAATTTCTGAATTAAACGACAAAGAAACTGTTATCTGTAAATTGGAGAAAAAACGTTCAAAATCACGTTTATCTAAAGTTGATGAAAATTTTAAACCTATTAAGCAAGATGATGAAAAAAAGAACATAAAGATTGAAAAACCTATTAAACAAGAAGATGATGAAAAAAAGAACATAAAGATTGAAAAACCTATTAAACGAGAAGATGATGAAAAAAAATACATAAAGATTGAAAAAGATATTAAACAAGATGATGAAAAAAAAGACATAAAAATCGAAAAAGTTATTAAACAAGAAGACGAAAAAAAAGACGTTAAAGTTGAAGAAGGTAATTGATAATTTAATATAGGAATGTTGATTAATAGTGCTGCAATGGTCAGTTTAGCTCGGCTCTTAGCTTATATGCTATTGAATCAATGATTGGATCTACGAGCCAGAGCAAGCTGTTTATAGGCATAAACTAAGATAAATTAAGATTCTTGTTTAAACAAACGACAATATATATATTATTTGCTAGGTGTGATGATGATTCTATTCTTGAAAATTTTGAGAGCCAAAAATAAAAAAATTCTTATATGTAGAATTCCAATCCATGAATCATTTATCCAGCTATCCAATATTTGATGGATAATTGGATAAAATAGATTAATGAATGAATAACCGAATTATCCAATAAACTATCCGGATTCATTTGACAATTAAAAGTTCTAAAGTAATCAACAATATAAATTCATTTGACAATTAAAAGTTCTAAGGTAATCAATAATATAAATTAATTTCTCTTATTTATATTGTTGATTACCTTAGAACTTTGTAATCCCTAATACATCGGATGATTCGGTTAACCGATTTAAGATGAATATCCGAATCTAGCATGTCGAATAAATGATACGTAGTTATTGTATTACATTTAATAACTCAATATATACTATATCTTCAACTCGTGGTTCCAGAGGCAGACACTTTATTGTTGGGTTCTGAGCCACGCTGGCAATAACTTTGCCGTTTGACTTATAGCTTAGTAAAACTATTTTGCAGCACTATATATAATTAAGCACTCAACTAAATTTTGATTATAAACAATATTACAGATCTAAAAACTACAAACAATATTGATTATTCAACATTAACTAAGCAAGAACTTTTGGAATTGCACAAAAAATTGATTGCAATTAATAAGAAATTAGAAAAGCAAAATATTGAATATGAAAAGTTATTTTGTCAGCAAGAAGAGAAAATCAAGAATTTACAAAAAGAGAGTAAGTAGACTGTAAAGAATTTTATTTTAATTAGTTATATCATTCTTTTTTTTAATAATTTAATAATTTATTAGATTCTTCAATGAAACTACATATTAACAATTTAAACAAAGAATTAGAAGGTAATATTGATAAGATTATTTTAATGTATTTTCTAATTTTAATATCAATTATGGTTTGTTTAATTTTAGGAATGGAAAAAATTGAAAAGCAGTATAACCTTATCAACGATGTCAAATGTTCTTATTTTCATAGTTGGTTTTCCTATGCTCCTTTAACTTCTATTAGTTCAAATATTAAATCATCACCAACTTTATTAGAAAATGAAAACACACATCAAAAACATTTTATAGATCAATTTGATTCAATTTATTCTAGTTTAACGACATCTGAAAACTCGAAGTATACAACTCACAATACTAGTACTACACCTTATTTAGATGGTTTAAAACCTGATGTTTCTGTGACTGAACGTAATTATAAACCTACTTCTTCAAACGTAATTATTATTGGAGAACTTAAACGAGTTAAATTATCTAAAGCGCATTATGAACAAGTATTTAATTATGGAATTAAAATTCTTGGAAGTCAACATTTAAGAAAAACAGTTTTTGCTTTTTTAACAAATCATCAGCAAATTATATTTTTTAAAATTCAAAGAAAAGATTCTACATTTTCTTGCGAACATTCTTTAACTTTTAATTTTAACTATGAGAATATCGGATGGCGAATGTTGATGACTTTGGTTCAAAAAGATAAAAACGAACTTGGATATATACCCGTTTGTTGATTGTATAATTTAAATAAAATTTCTATTCTGTATCTAAGTGGGAATGGAATTTAAATGGTTTTGGAATTTCCTAGTTAAATTAGGGTTAGGGTTAGGGTGTACATATGATAAAATCAACCCAAAACGAGGGTTTTATATAAATTCTGAATCCACTTAAATTCCATTTCCACTTACAACATATATATATAACTTATATTTAAAAAATTGTAAGATTATATTCATTGTTTGAATGTATTATTCAAATAGATTAGTATGTTTAAGTTATAAATATTCTTATTTTTTATCACTTACGTATATTTTAATTTACAATGATTAACATAACTGATACTGTATTCTTTATTTTAACATTCTTTTAATTTAAATAAATATTTCATAAATTCAAATACGATAATTTAGCAAAATTTATAACACATATTCAATCATCTTTTTTATTATACGACCAGCATTACATTAATTTGTCTCTGATCAAAATAATATATATGTAGAATAAGTAATAATCTATAATGTTAAAACGAGTTATTATCTTTGTTTTGTTGTAATATATTTACTACTTTTTATTTTTTGACTATCACTATGTGTGGGTGTTGTGGATTTCTTTAACAGTTTATTTTTTGTGTCTATACTAGGATGCAAACCATTTATTTCTATTTTTTTAAAACAAAAATCTAGACATATCATACATATAATGAATATAAAGTGCGTATGCACCTTAAATGTTGCTTTTTACAATTGAACTATCTGCTATATAGTATACTCAGGATCCACCAAAGACTTTAAAATTGACAACTGGTATTGTAACGGATCCGGTTCTTGTACAGTCTACGATAATTGATATATATAATATTGGTTACTTTAAATAGTTTCCAATAATTAAGAAACTTTAAAAAAAATTCTTAAAATTAGTAATATAGTCATAATCATTATCACTTAAATCCAAAGATCTCAGAGTAAAGTTTGTGAGAAGAACTTCTTTTAATGCATTTACACCTTCAACCCCAAGTTGATTATAACTAAGATTCAAAGTGGTTAAAGAAGTGTTTTTACAAAGTGCATCGGCCAATGCTTTTCCTTCCTGAGGACCAAGTTGATTATTACCAATATCTAAGGAAATCAATGAAGTATTCTTATAAAGAGTTTCGGCAAATGCTCTTCCACCTTCAGAACCAAGTCGATTAAGCCAAATATTCAGTAAAACTAGAGTTTTATTCTCACAAAGGGCTCTTGCTAATGCTTTCCCACCTTCAGGGCCAATGTAATTACTATTAAGTTTTAAATGGGTTAAAGTACTATTTTTACGAAGTGCATTTGCTATTATTTTTCCACCTTCAGGACCAAGTGGGTTACCACAAAGGTCTAAAGTAGTTAAAGTAGTATTCCGATAAAGAGCTTTTGCTAATGCACATCCTACTTCCGGTCCAAGCCCATTTTCTTCAAGACTTAAAGAAATAAGTGTAGTATTTTTATGAAGAGCTTCTGCAAACGCTTTTCCACCTTCAAAACCAAGTTGATTATCATAAAGTTTAAAAAAGGTCAATGTGGTATTTTTAGAAAGTGCCTCCGCTA